TGGAGGACGAAAGGGAGCGCAGTCCTATGTATCTTAGGGAGTTGAGAGAACGGAGGGAGAACCAGAAAATGATGAGTTCGGGTGAGCGCTGGGACGAAAACAAGGCACGGAGGATTGCAGCCTCAGAATATCCGCTTGACCCATTGCTCGGGAAAGCTATCGCGCAGGTTAAAACGACGGGCGCGGCCTTGCCGCCTTTTTTGCCGGATGGCAACAAGACTTGGTGCTGCCTAGTGTGGGAACGCAAGGAGGCCGGGTTGGAGGTAACGATGGAGAAGGAGAAAATCACTGACGAGAGGGATGTTGATAACTTGGAGTTGTTCAGGAAGCGGGGTTTCCACATGATCGAGTATCAAAGAAGGCCGTTTGTGCAGATAATCATGGGACGGCTTGGCTTTATCAGAAGGTCGAGGAACAATGAGCGGCGGGCGCCGTCTTTAGTCAACGTTTGCTCCGGGCACTTGCGAAACATAGTGATGTCGATGGACTCGATAGCGAAGGCGACTTCGTGCGGGGCGTTTCCTGACCGGGCGATTGCGAATCGAACCGCTGACGGAGAGAGGTGAACGTTAACAAAGGTGGGAGGCAGGCTGGGGTTCGATACGGCCTGGTCGACGATAGGCTGCAGCAAGCTTGTTATTGAGAAGATCAGGGAAGACGTGGGGATCAGTATTTCCACGCCGCCCGCACTGGCCAATCAGCGCGCTGTAGACTGCATGCCTTACTGAGCCGACGTCATCAGTCGGGGCACAGTTGTGCCCTCATTTTGCAGCCGGCCAATCACCGCATGCTCCTCTCCATCATGTCAAACCTGAAGAAAACTTTTGACCAGCCTTCATATCCTAAGCTGGCGTTCTCGATCTCGTTTTCCTTCGGTAACCAGGGTAAGACTTCTCCTGATTCCTTGCGCGGCCTCCAAGTGAGGCATCTTCAGATTAGCCTCTATGAACTCTGCATTTGTCTTTTCGCTCCCAGGCTTGTCATGCGCCCAGTCGTGGCGCCGCCCGCTTTCAGGTTTGTCTTCGACCTCTCGCCAGCCAGTCGTTGCACATAGCTGTAGAGTTGCGCTTCAGATGAATTCGCAGACGTCATCCAACTCTAATGAGAAACTCGAATCATCACGGGACAAACAACCGGAATCTTCTTCTCCCACTTCCTCCCCCACCGCAACGGACTCTGAGTTAGACGAGCCTCAGCTGGACTCCGGTTCTGGTTCTGGCTCAGCCATTTCTGGAAACGGAGGCGACGGTCCCGGTAATCGCCAACCAGATGACGGCGAGGGAAAGAATCCCGAAGGGTCAAGAAACACCAACCCTGTCATGCCAGAGGAAAAGTCGCAACTAGAGCAAGTCAACCACAGCTTTAAGAAAATCATCGAACTACCGGCTGGCATCGTTTCCACAGTCACCAGAACGGCCTACGGCTTTTTAACAGATCGCGTCAAGGAGCTGTTACACTTTGTCCCAGTCCCGGTAATCGTCGCCCTCATCTCCACCGTATCTACTATTTCAGGGACCAGGTACAACGCACGTCGCAATAAGATGGCTGCCATTGCCACACAGCAGAAGGCGGCCAGGGCTAAGAAAGACGAAATTGAGCGGCTGCTGAGAAAGAAGTACATGGAGCTGTCAGCCCCTATTCTGAAAAGCGCTGCAAAGCTCGCTGACAGAATTCACTCTATCGTGGATTCAGACTGGGACCGCGTGGAAAAGAAAGGTCTTGACAGCTCTCTTTCTCCAGCATATTCAGCCTATTTGCTCGGTCGATACTTCGCAATGGTAGAGATTATCAAGCAGGAGAGCGTTATTTTGGATTATGGTTTCCATGCAGCAGATAGAGTCTTAAGCAATATTCTTGGTAGGATTCAAGGTGTATTTGCGGCAAGCGACGAAATTCTTATCGAGATGCAGATGACGGAGCATCTATTCCACCCGCCTGATGGGCAAACGGCTCTTCGCGCCGGCCCATTACGTGTTACACCGCGTGCACAAGCTGTCCTCGGCGAGCTCCTGCATCGCAAGCTCTACAGCGGAAAATTGGATTTCGTGGATAAAGCAGAAAACGAGAGGCGTGGGCAGGACGCGGTCCTTTCGTTCCGAGAATTTTCTCGTATTCTGGAAGTAGATGCAACCGTCGCGCGCTGGTACAAGCCTGTGATCCGAGACTTTGAGACTTTGGAGGCCTTCGTGCGACGTACTTCGCGAAGCAAGAGACGATGCGATCGAGTTGGGTCACGACTGTATTTCGCGCAGTCGGCCTTGATGGACTTGGTCGAGTTTTTCGACCCGTTGCCGCAGGCACATGCCATTCCATTCTATCGGCGGAGAAGGCTTCAGCTTGGAGGGGTTTCGTACTCCGAGGAGCAGCGTGCTCCGCTAAGCCTTCATTTGTTGTACAGAGAGCTGGCGAAAATCAGAGATCGTCGCTCGATGGTGGGGAGCAAGATGGACCGACTGCGACTACCTCGTGGAGGTGTAGAAGTGCATGTGAAGGGGTCTCAAGCGCACTCAAATAGCGATACGCTATCTCAAAAGTACGGGGATTGCCCCTACTCCCAGCGCGTCCTCATTTTACTCGAGGAACTCGGAGTGCCGTATCAGGCAGTGGCGATCCCGCCTATGTCCAAGCCTGGGTGGTATTACTTACTGCACCCCGACAAACGGACGCCCGTGGTGTACCATAACGGAAATTTAGTAGAGGACTCTCGACACATCATGACGTACATCAAGCAGCATTTCCGTCCTGCGGAGGGCAAAAGGCGTCTGTCGTCCGCGAAAGTGCTTACACTTCCGGTAAGCACAGCTACTTATATAAAATTCCATGGGCACTTTCTCAACTGGGTGAGTGGACAGGAGGATGCACGTGGCGCAGTGGAAGAAGAATTGCGGAAATTGAACGGGACTGTAGCGCGAGCACAGCGGCTTTACGAGAAAGGATCGTTCCTTGGAGGCTGTCAGTTTGCAAGGGAGGATACTGCCATCGCACCTATGCTGCATAACGTAGTCGTAGCCGGCAAGGCGCTGAAGAATTGGGAGCTTCCAGAGGACTGCAAAGCGCTTCGCAAGTACGAGGAGGATGCACGAAAAGTACCGAGCTTCGCGAAGACGGTAGGGGCGGATGAGGCTATCGTAGCAGGATATAGATGTCTGGCGAAGAGGGGAGGCGAGAAAGTATGGGCTCTTGCTGATATGCTCGAATGATGTGGTCAATCCGCCGCATAGTCCAAGTAGGTGCCATGGAAAGCCGGATTGAGCGGCCTTGAGAAAGATGATGATGGCGCATAATATGTTGTGAAGGTATTCAATGGTGTTCCAACTGCGTCTGAGGCCAAACATGCTGTTGTTATCTTGCTGGTATGGACCTCGAGAATTGGCATTGAGCCACCCCGCTCTGTTGACAATGAGGATGATAAAAGCTCTATTAATATCGTCGAAGAATGGCGAGCAGTGCGCCTTCCAATGCTTTCCAAGGTATCTTTTGCATTGTTCAGCAGTTTTGCTACTTTCTATTCCTTTTTATCGATCCCACCTGCTGCTTGTTCAAACATAATAATATATAGGGTTTTGGGTCAAAGTGTAGCTTTTTAAGCCGCACTGTCACCCCAAGATCCGCAAATGGCCCTTTGAGTAATCCCACGACCTCAAATTGACCAAGCAAAGTCTCAGGGCACACATCAGTGCAGATTGCAGCACAAGCAGTTGAGGACACCAAGTACAGCTTTTCGGCTCCAGCTTCAACTACGTCTTGCCGCCACAATTTTCGATTTCCTGCTTTAGGACGTGCACAGCAGTCAGAAAACAGTCATAGAGGCTTCGTGAGACTGGAGTCTTGAAGCATTCAAGCGTCACCCTAGAAAGGCTGCACTCCAGAATACATTTTGCTTGCTTTGCATCATTCTCACCTCCAATCATTCGTTTCGGGAATAGGCCAAGCTGGTCGCATTAGAAGAAATCCCTCCGTGTGTAATCATGGCTTCTCAGAAGACAGCGTTTGAAGTCTCGAGCCCATTGGCGAGACCCATGAATTCACGCATTTCTGTGCAACTCCAAGAGAGCCCGTGCCAAGCACTTCAGAGTCGCAGGACACAGAAGGTCGCAAGGCAGAATATCGATGCAAATGGAAGTGGACAAAAGCAGTAAGCAAGGAGATAACTCCAAACCCCGGCAGACTCATATTTCCCCGGAATTGGCAAATCAAGCCATTAATGATGCTATTACATACTCAGGTGGGGACGTTGTGGTTATGGCTAGAACCTGTGCAAGTGGATTTTGTGATGCATTACAACAATGCTATGGTTCAGAAGAAATATCAGATGTGTTTATTGCTTGCGGCTCAGGTTTAAACGGCTTAATTGGATTGCAAGTCGCTGTAGAGCTGCAGAAGAGAGGTTATGCACCAGCGGTCTATGCTGCAGAGCAATCTAAGCATGCTAATTTCCGGTCTGTCTGCGATGAAGCCGGAATCGACTTGCACGACTTCATTCCCAGCACGCTAGAGTTTTATTATGACATCGTTGTAGATGCCTTGCTTGGAACTGGCTTTGATGGGGGGGACATTCGACAACAGTACTGGACTTTTTACGAGATGCTAATCTCAACTCGGCTTGCGATTGTGAGCCTTGATGTACCATCTGGCTGGGATCTTTCGACGGGTCCAAGAAAAATTGATGTGACAGCAGATTCGTTTATCGAACCCGAAGTGCTAGTGTCTTTAGAAGCACCAAAGCTTGGATCAAAGGTGTTTGCCGGGGGCTACCACTTTATAGCTGGTCGACATCTTCCTCAAAGCTACTTTTGGAAAAGGGAATCTCTGTTCCGGCTTTTCCCGGCGAGGAGTCAAACTGCGTGCTCATGTCAAGTAACCCGTTTCGCTTCGAAGGTGCTAATGGAGAGACATATGGGCGACCTGGACAATTCAATGCCACGCTCTACACGAAAAACCCTACCCGAGAATGGGTCGATATTGACAAGCACGATGACCTGTGGGACGAACTAGACTGGCATTAGAGTGTGCTCAGTGAGTTTAAGAGTGGAAATCATTGTCAAGTGCTATACAGGGACTCTAGCTGCGAAAAAACGCTGTCTACTGGCCAACTTTTTTGCTTAACGCGACGCGCCACATAATGTAATTCGACGTGGCCTGCGTCAGCGCGGAAGCTGTGACTTTTCCTGTTTGTCGCCATACGAACCCACACGCAACACCGGTGACACAGGCGGAGGCCATGTATCGAACGTTTGGCGGGTCATATCCAAGTTTTGATTTCCCTAAGTGTGCAATGCCGAAGGCACCAGACGCGATGAGTAGTGCAGATATGGACCCGTGGCCTAGGCGTTGCTCCAACATATTCTGATTCATACCCCTAAATATAAGCTCCTCGGTAACGCCGTTCATGAATATGCCTAGGAAAGTGGCGGCTTCTTTGGCCGCGTCTAAACGAGGTGGCGTCTTGACGTCAGCAAACCGGGTTAGGGCGGCAAGTGGAACGGTGATGAGATCAGAGGCAGCACCCACAGCTAGCGCTATCAGCACATCGACTGGGGTTACCTTGAAAGTGTAGCCCAAGTCACGAGCGTGGGCCAGCTTTGAAAAGGGCGTAGAATTGTGAAGCAGTTCACGACTGTCAAAGCTGCGGTGAACAAGCCCCAGGCTGTAACCTTTCCAGTCGGTGATATGTCCGATGACAACAGCTTAAAATCCAGTGGAAGCCAGATGCAAAGAACGGTAATCAGGTCGGCCATTTCGGAGCGAAGCGATGAGTGGTCGTCTGGCTTTGTGAGCTGAAGCAGTGACGGGATGAGGATATACGCTATGTAAATTGCCAATATAGGGACTGCGCGGCGGCGACCGTCCATGATGTTGGCTGCACCGGCGAGGCACACTGGAACCAAAACTAATAGCGCCGTCCAAGCTGCTTGCCATCCATGTCCAAATTCGTTGACAAATGTCGAAGAAGAGTAAGCCAGGAATAAAAAAGTCCAGCACATCGAGGCTGAGGACTCCAAAGTATGGGCTCGGCCGCCTGATTCTGGCATTTTTGGAAAGCCGCGGTCAGTCATTGGCTCCATGCTGAAGGATGGAACGAAGATTCTACTCGAACAGTGAGGTACAACACGGTTGAAGCTGTTTCAATTGTCTCTGCGGTAGCCGGAAAACGCTCTTGTAGAAAGCAGGGTTGCCTTGAGCACTTTGTCGTTGCTCGCTGCGATTTTTGCGTTTCTAAAAGGTTTACTAGGAAGGTACTCTTGCTGGGCCTTGCACTTGTTCGGGTGTGTGTGAACATCCGCACACGTTGCAAACTTACAGTGTATGCAGGCGAAGTAGGGGGGGTTTTCTCTGGGCAGAACGGACCGGTTGCAGGGGGGGGTCGCTCAATTGTGCCTACTATAGTAGTGCTTCCCTCTATATAGTGCTATGGCTCGCCCTCTGGCACAGGTTATCACAAGCTCACACGTGTATCATCCGGTATGGTTCAGTACGCAGTACAGCTATCCATGCTGTCTTAAAGGAGACCCTGACCAAAGGATGTTGTGTTATGCAGGCTTTGTTGTGTTTGTGTTAGCAGTGTGCTTTGTCCCCAAATATATGTATTCGAGCCTCCTTTATATAGTGCCATCCCCCCAATAGTGCCATAGCTAGAGGTATGTCACGCTATAGCACCATATCGTAGGAGGCACTGTATACGATTCCGTATCATAATCGGCCAATCATCATCCGCCAGCTTGTCGCACGTGTAAAACATTGCGTTTTGGTCACCACGTGTAATACATTGCATTTTGGTCTCCACGTGTAAAACATTGCATATCGATCCACACGTGTAATGCATTGCATTTGGGTCCACACATACAGCTTTTGTAAATCTTGTCGCGCGACAGCCATTACATGTCATACCAAAGAAACTTGCCTGCGCATGCAGGCCTGCGCGGTATACCCTTCCCCAAAAGCATTATTTGGTAAAAAAGGCTAATTTGGTGATTCAGTTCTCGTTGCTGCCAGTGCGGACAATGGGTACAGTCTTTCATCCCTGGACTCCAGGGAAACGCTCTGGGGCCTAAGCATTCACCTCGTCTACAGTTTCCCGCAATTTTACCTCCGCGCCTCTCCCCGTCCCGCCAAAACAGAAAATAGCCGGCACACAACACCGTTAAAGACCAAACAGTAGTATTTGATCCACGATCAAACACTTTCTCGTCCTGTTCACGAAACAGGGCTCCAGTTTCCCGAAATGTTACCTCCTCGCTTCTCCCCGTCCCGCCAAAAAAATGGCAGGCACACATCACCGTTAAAGGCCAAACAGTAGTAATTGATTCACGATCAAACACCTTCTCGTCCTGCTCCCGTGATTGGCCTCCAGTTACGCACAATTCACGCCCTCCGAAGTTGATTGGAATGCATCGTCAGGCAGCGCGCGTCAAGCAAGAGACAGACGGAACGCAAGGGCCAAAGACAAACGGCAGACAGCGGTAAATTTATTGAAGATGAAAAAAAGGTTGCCGATGTGGTTCGCCTCACAGTCGACTGTGGGGCGAACTACCCTGATGATCATCAGTCGTGGGACAGCAGACAGATTACAAAAATGTCTCAAGACCAAGGACGACGACAAACTGTCCGCCTTCTTGACCCAGCACAACAACCGTCCCGGAGCCCCCCATGTCATCAAAGCGGACGACGACAGAATCATTAAGCAGCGCATTAAATATACTGCTTCCCGGGGATTCGCAATTAACAATTATACATTGCGAGCTATCATTGCTCGCATTGCCAATGATGGTCGACGCGGTTTTCAGACGAAGGACAACATGCCCTCCCCGGACGCTGTTCGTACCTGGAGAACCCGAAACAGGGATATCACGTTTCCAACAGCCGATCCCACGAATCTCCTAATCCTAGTTACTCCCCTACTCCTCTAAATCTCCGAAGCACCGCGAATCCCTAAAGTACAAAAACCATCCTACTCCTTACTCCTGAATCCCCTGCCGGCCTGCAGGCCGGCTGATCACATGTGATCAATGGCCTCTGATCACAGCTCCCCACTGATCACCGGTCCTAACTCTCAAAATTTGCACCCAAATTTTGCAAATTTTATACAGCAATGACGATGTCGGACGACACCCCCTGCCGGCCTGTGATCAGTGGCCACTGATCACAGCTCCCATCCTGCAAAATTTGGTGGCAAACTTTATACAGCAATGACGGTGCACCGGTTGACAAGGAGAGTGGGTGTATGGTGAGGGAAACGAAAAAGTTAAGGATCAGACTGGCTGCGGGAACTAGAGAGGTGTAGGGACACGGACTTCGAAAGGCGGGGATACATAATGTGCCCCCTTGCAACAAGCACACAAATAGCAGACCTGAATTTTGTTTGCGATAACGATACAGTTTATGTGTCGCAACTACGGATATAGATGCCGGCGCAGAGCTTATAGTCAGTGCATAAAAGTATGCAGAGCTGTGTGGTAGTACTAAAAACTGTTGAATAAAGACCAGAGTTCTTGTTCCGCACATATACTTATGCCTGACGTGGCGGATACCCTTCCTTTCGCCCCCACACTTGATAAATTCCACCGTCTGGGAGACTCCTGTGTTGTAGTGCTGAGTTTGATGTGCATATGAGACACATATGGTCGTCGCTTTCGGCGCTGTCCTGCTTGCAGTAGTGCATAACTAATGCCTTTCGAACGTAGCTTCCAAGCTCAACCAGCGCTCTTCTTTCGTTTCGTTGTTGTATCATCACCCCGTATCCATCTTCTTCGGCTTCGCACTCTTTCACTGCGCAATATCGTGTTGTTTCTTGACTTTCTTTCTCACGAGCGTCCAGAATCCGGACTTGAACCACGGCTAGCACCATCCAGAACCTTCTGTCTTCATCATGCTCAGAATCATTGTTCTCATGAAGAGTGAATGTGAGATCAGGATCTGCGGTCGAAACTACAGAAGAATGCAAGGCTTGAATCACGCTCCCATAAGATATAGTGGCCAAAACAGATGTCTGGTCTCTTTTTCGCCCGTCTGTTATTTTGCACCACTTGGCAGTTCCATATATCTGTACGGTTACTGAATTTCCATGGTCCGCCCGGCCACTTCTAAGACGTAGCTTTTGTTTCCATAAATGCTCTAAAAACTCCCTTGCTTTCAACAGAAATGCAAGGTCAGTTGATTGGAACATTTCCGAATGTTGACCTCCGTCTGCAGTGTTTCCGATGTTCATAATTACTGACTTGTCTACGCGCCAGTCCTTCCTACTGAGAGACGACGATAAGAGTCCTTTCCGATGTAATCGAAGGTTCTGCAGAACAGGAGTTGGGAAGCAGTCCTGAAGCTTTTGTAGAAATCTTCCCGCATCCTGAAGCCCAGAACTGTCGTAGCCCAAGAGATTTAAAACTGACTTCGCTGTCTCAAAGCTCCAGCCGTTCTCACTAGTGTCAATGCCTTCAGTTTCAATTGCCAGACGAGTCTTCCAGTGGTTGGCAAGACGATGTTCCATAGCCTGTAATTGTGAGTTTTTCATATTAGATTGAGCTACCTCCCTCTTCAATGGCTGATGAGCGCTTTCAAACAACAACTCTTGTACATGTCTTACACTACCGAACAGTGGCAATGTATGTGTGAAGAACTCCAACAGTCTGTGAAGGTTTCGTTTGTCCAAATGAGTGGAGGCAAAGCAGTTTGTGCGACACAGCTTATCTACTCGAGATAGGTAACGAAGTGCCATATTACGAATCTCCAGAAGTCTCTTGGTTCCTCCTTCTTCATTGTGTGTGTCTAATGACCTCTTACCATCTATCCTTGAGTCCGGAAAGTACTGCGTTCTGCTCACGAGAGAGGAAAACAGGTCGAGGAGGTCGAGAGCTTCATCGATAGTAGCACAGTTTCCGCTCTCTCTCTCGCCTGTGATTTTGTTCACGTACCAAGCACTCTTCATCGCCCGTGGTGCTACCAAGAGCAGGCAGTACATAGACGATATCGTCATTGAATGTAGCACATGCTTGTCATGGTTGATTAGGCTCTCCTGATATATGAGATAGCCATCCTTCAAAGCCATCTTGGCAATTGCCTCGGCATCTTTGCGTACATCTTTTGGTAGCAGTGTTATACAGAGATTCATGATGTCGCGACCAATCCCGAGGAAAAGATGATCGGGAGCCACAACGCATGAGCGATACGAATCGAAAACAGAAGGAACAACCGGTTTGCTACTGCCGAGTACACGAGGCACACGAGCCCGAACTTGTCGCAGTTTCTCAGAGAGTTGATGAAGTACCTGCAAACTTGTCTCAAACGTATCTGCGTCATCCATTCCGAGGGCTTTCAACTCTTCCCTGGATAACTTGGATCTCCTCAATGCAGTAGCCCGGTTCTCATCTCTCGCGAAAGATGGATGGTCGGAATGGATGCGGGTTGTGTAACAATACTTGCTTCCTTGAAATCCAGACTTGTCGTACCTACAATAGCTGCATAAGTGACATGGAACATTGGAGCAGTGCCCTAGCAGGTCCAAAGTGTGGGACACCGCAGGATAGTCTCCAACGTACCCGACGACATCGTGAAAAAGAACAACCTTCTCTCCTTTTGCAGTGGTCATCTCAAATCCCTTTTCTGTCCCCTCAATGATATCATCAATAACTGCCGCCAGTACCTCGTTTGTAGATACCCCTGGAGGAGTTGGCCCGATAGGTCTGATGGCTCCTGCTCCATTGCGGTTCTCCGGAGCCATACCTATTGGCAGCATGTATACACCACCCATGCTTCCTTTCTTTCCAATGTACGGCGTAAATCCATCAGAGTACAGAAACATTCTATACACAACGTACTTTCTTCCATCTTCCAAACGTCCACTGCTTTCCGCATCGACGCG